CCTCTCTCTCTCTCTCTCCCCCCCCCTCATTCTTTCCCCCCAAAGAATCAACAATTCCGAAGTACAACAAAGAAAATACTTGTTGCTCTTCAGTCTGTACAACAATAGGGGAGTTTTAATCTCATTCTAAGTTACAGCTGACATGGGCAGACCCATTTGCTTATCTGCCTTCCTCTTTCCCTTGCTCCTTCCTCCTCTGCTTCCTTCAATTTTTCCTTCCCACCCTTATTCTCATCAGCCTTCCTGTCCATTCATCCCACTCCCTGCTCACCCACTCCCATTTCACATCAGTCTCTCTCTCTCTCTCTCTCTCTCTCTCTCTCTCTCTCTCTCTCTCTCTCTCTCTCCTTGTATTCAGTTTATTTATCTACTTACTTGTCCATTCAGCACAATTTTTTGAACGCCTTCTATGTGCCAGGCACTGCTGTATGCTCTTAGGACACACAAAATTTCAAAATACAAGCGGACCTGCTCTCAAACAGCTCCTAGGCTTGCTAGGGAGGTAGACAGGGAAACAAGTAATTACATCTTCTGATTAGAGCTCTCAGGATAGGATGAAATATTAAAAGAGCAGCTAGTGGCCATATTCCATGTGAAGATTTCTCATAGCGACGGTTTAGTTGGGCTTGGAGAGGTGAGTAGGAGCTAAGTGTGAGGACGTGGCCCCTAAACAGAGGCAAAGCCACCAGCTAAGGGAACACTGCACCTTTTGGGATCATCAAGCAACCCAAGGGCCAGGAACAAACAGACAGAGCCCACTGGGAAGGGCTAAAAAACTTGAGGATGCTGAAAGCCAAGAAATCTGAGCATTCAGAAGTCAGCTCTGAATGCAGGGGAGAGAACAGGACAGGGTGAGAAGGGGATGCACTGCTTACACGCGTGCTCCCGCAGTCCAGATGAAAGGCGCAGGGCGCTGGCTGCACATGCCAGCACCAAAGGGAGAGGAACTGCTGCTTCCACTGACCCACCATCCATGGGGTAGGTGGAAGGACAGGAGAGTACTGAGCTCCCCAAGTCTAAAGGCAGCCTACGGGAAGAGCTCTGAATCTGTGTATTCTTTCTCTATTCCCCCTCAGCTCCTGCACTTCTCAGGGTGAGAAAACACACTAGTTTCTACGGATCAGGGTCACTTTGTCTGAATTTTAGCAAATTCTAGCAAATGAGCTATCACATGGACATGAGAATGACCCTATCTGAGTCAGCGGCACTGGGAGGCTTCTATAATAAGTCTGGTCGGGCTGCCCCCAGGCATGCCAGATCCCTGGCATACTTTTCCCGCTGCGAGCACAGGCATGACAACTTCCTAATGTTCTAGAAAATCCAGGCTCCAAGATGCAGGTTCTGGCATCCTGAAGGTCTGGGGCCCAGTGACATGGCTGTGTCTGGCCAGCAACTCACGCTGCCCACAGGTGACACGCACGTGATCAATACTGGACCTGAGAGGATGCAAGAGGCAGAGAAGGACCCTGACCAGCAGGGATCAGCGAGAAGAACAAGGCTGACACCCCAGGCATGGGGAGGGGGGAAGAAAGCACCCTGAGTCCATGCCCGTGAAGACCTTAGCGGCAAGTCTGGCTCCAGGAAAGACTCACCATTGCCAGCACTGGCAGGCTGCAGGGGACACAGACTCGGCCACCGCAGACTGTCCGCTCTGCCCTCTGTGCTGTGCACCTACAGCTCCTGCAGCGCTGCTACGGCTTTGCTCTCGCTGCCGCGGATTCCCTCTGCCCCTGCTCCTGAGTGCCTTTGTTTCCTCATAGCTTTGCTCCTCTTGCCAGGTTGTTTCTTGTTCCCTCACCACCTCCCTTACACTTGTGCTCACACGGCCGCATGATTTAGTGACTCCTGTAAGAGCTGCACAGCCTGCCAAATGGAAGGCAGGGCAGATTCCTCACCGTAAGGCTGGTGGCTGCCTCCTGTACTTCCAGGATGTTGTGGAACAGTGAGAACGTGACCGGGAGGCCATGCCTAAATTGATGCGAGTCGCACTCAGGCCCAGCAAGTCCCCCAAGTGCAGCAGGTCTCTTACCTGTGATTTCCTTGGTTGCTCCATTCGTGTGCTCCAAGCGATCCCCTTCCACACGGACACTGGGGCAGAGCACGTCTGAGGAAAGCAAGCAGAAACAGGAGCTGGTGAGAAAGCACAGCTCACGGATACCCTGTGACATACAGCAGTGAACACAGCCCACCTTACCTCCAGCACCGGAAGGGGTCAGTGCCCGAACTGGCGTCTCTATCTCTGCTTGGACTAATGCTTTTATGTATTCATGTCCTTGTTTAATACTGACTTTGCCAGCATTTTGCCCTATTTTCAGGTAAAATGGTAACCAAGTATTAGAGCCCTGCCAAAGGACCTACAGCCTCACCCACTACAGGAGCCAGACATGCAAACCAACAATCACAACACAGTGTAATAATACGTGACAGGCACGGACAGTTGCCTGGGACCCGGGCCCAGGAGGGCCGCCTACCCACCAAAGGCAGGAAGCCTTTTCACAGAGAGACTTTTCTTACAGGAATAGTGAGATAGAGCCAGTGATATGTGCATACAGATGAGGGATCCTCACGTAGGAAGGCATGGGAATATGTATGAAATTCTGAGACAGGATTGGGGCATCCACCAAATGGGACAAAGGAATGTTGGAGGCAGACCAGAAAAGTGTTCCCTAAGTCACCCTGTGAAGCTTCAGGTACAATTCCAGAAGAATTTACATGCCTGAAGACAGCAACATCTCTCAGGTACACAAAAGCACGAGAGCAAGTCACACTAAAAAAAATAGAGTTATCCTACTGGTTACGGTTTATATCCCAAAGCTTCATGCACTCACAGGTGGGGCTTTGGGGAGGTGACCAGGTCATGGATACTGGGTTACGCCTCTGGTGGGTTTATAGCTGGGTGTGATATGGGTAGGTGAAGCCTGGTAGGAAGAGGTGGGCCACAGTGGGTGTGGCCCAGAGATGGATAGATGGATAGACAGACAGATAGACAGACAGACATCTCCATCTTCCTCCCTTGATGGTACATCCTGCATCCTAACATGCCACGGACTATTTCTGCTCTGTGAAGCCCCTGTGCCCTGCCACCCTGCTATGCAGCCAGCTGACCATGGACTGAAACCTCTGCACACTGTGAGCTAAAATACACCATCCCTCCTTTAACTTATAACAAAACAACCTGGCCCCTCCCTACAGATGGGCTGCCGTGGTCTTGTGGTCCCCTGCTAAAAGTATATGCCCCTAGATAGGGGAAGCCAGATGTTTTGAAAGAGAAAACAACTAAGATGCTATTATATTATAAAAGTGTCTTATCTTAAAACCTTCATGAATTGTTGCTTTCACAAAGAAATAGAACTGTTTTGGTCTACATATCTGAGAATGAGTGAGCCCTAGCTCTGAACTTCAAAATAGTGGATCCCTTCAGTGGCTGTCAGTGCCTGAGTCCATCTCCATGGGAGCATCTTGACAGGGAGATCTCAGCCACAAACCTATGGCAGGGAGTAAAGCAAGGTCAAGCCCATCAGAATCCTGAGTCTCTGGTAAGGATTCTCTTCCTCGAACCTGGTCCTGAAGGAGATGTGGGTTTCCTCCATAATTATTTTTCTCATCCCATACTGCAGAGCAGTCTCATCATTCTGTCAATTCTACATGCAAAGACTGCTGGCTGATCTAGAGGGGCACACACTTCATCATGGGCCCACATGGGACCACAGGGACACTCCTAATTCATCAACAGTGAGGGGGGAAATGAGATTGTTCCCAATTTCAGAAGAGGGTTTTATTTGGGAAGAGGTATTTTTAATGTTTATCATAAAAGGCATCAGCAGGTCTACCAAGCCCATGGCAGGGGCTATTTTGGAAACAGCGTCAAGCTGTCCGTCTAGTGTGAAACATGAGAGAGAACGCTGGGACTGGGCAATATTTAGACGGCTCCACCCTGGACCGCGGCAGCTGCATGGTGACGGTCACTGGTTTTCACTCTGGCAGGCTGCCTGGAGACTGCCTAGAGACTGCCTAGAGACTGCCTGTCATTTTACTGGGTTTACAATATAAAAAGAGGTTACTAGGAGAGGCCTGTCCAACCCAGTGAGCAAATTTCTAGACACTGACAGCCGGAGCTCAGAAGAGGCTGCACCACCAAGCACATGTACACAGAGCCCAGGGGAGGCCCCGGGTCTGCAACCAAACTTCACAGCCAACCTAAAAACCACACAGAGAAATGACAGGATGGTCTTCCTGAAGAATGTAGAACTTGCCAAACTGCGCTAAGAACTCATTCCCAAAACAACTGCAAAGTCCTCTGGGGGCCATCACAAAGCCTGACATTCAAAAGGCTCAAAGAGTGATTTATATCTCACTTTGTAGAGTCGGGATAAATGGCTCCCAAAAATACTTCCTAGCCAGACTTGCCCCCACAGAGAAGGGCTCAGGCCCTTGGGTTATCCACTTGGCAGGAGGACGGGCTCAGTCCCTCAAGCTCCTCTCAACCATCCTCTGATTCCTGGAGGCTAAGATACCTCTGCAGCTTGGATAAAGTGTCTGTTTATTTCCACATTCACTCATTTATTCAAACTGAAATGTTTCAGTGAGATTCAGAAATCTCTCAACATAGGCTTCTTCTAGGGCCACAGAAGTGGATAACTCATTGACATAGTCCCTACCTTCAGGCCACACGTGGGCTGACCACTGTGACAGATTCCAAACAAGTAGGAGAAAAGGCATCACAGCTGTGTGACACTGTCTGCCCCCTCACCACTAGAAGCTTTCTCCTGGACGTGAGACTCTGCTGAGCTTCAAGCACTGAGGGCCTTGTTCCTACGCCTCAGCAAGGGAAAGGAACCCTCTCAGGGACCTGGTGCCCCAGAACTGATGGAACATCACTGAAGTCCTAACTCAGCATGACTGCCCCTGGGATGCAGTACTCCCATACCCACATGGATCTCAGCACCCCTGCAGATCCCCAAGATCACTACCATTCATGCCAAACAAAAATGATCACTGGCACCCAAGTTCGGAAGCAGACACCAGACAGTGGACTGGAGGGCAAGCCAGGTACAGAGTCACCAAGATTTTGATGAGCCAGTGAGAAGACTCCAAGGACTCCAGGGCTCTGCCAGAAGACTCTTGGCACCTAGGGGTGGACACATGGCCCAGTCCTAACCAAGGAGACAAAAGTTCACTATGAACAAAAGGAGGCCTTCTTTATAAAAGTTTTTTTATTTTCTTGATTATCTCAGTTACTCTTCTCTCATTGCTGGGACAAATACCTGACACCAAAAGTGAAGGAAGGAAAGATTTATTTAGCTCATAGTTACTGGAGGTTTCAGTCCATACTTGGCTGACTCCAAGGCAAAGTGGCACAGGGAAGAGACTATCCAGTTCATGGTGGCAGAACAACAACAATGGCAACAGAGAGAGCCTGTCTCTCTGTCTCTCTTACATTGCATTCAGGTTCTCTGCCCCAGGCTAGAGGAAGTACACACACCCATAATCTCAGCAGTACTAAAACCTGTAATCCCAGTGAATCATCCATAATCCCAGTGGATCATGAATTAATCTCAAACTCTAGAAGTCCCCACCCCATGACTGCATGAGGCTTTGGGGAAACAATTAGACACAAACCATAACATTGATGTAAGGGAATGACAGGTAGAATGATCGGCAATTCTTATTTCCCTTTGTCTTCCTTCATGTAGGTACATAATGTTGGGAAGGTGTCCAGGTGACATGAGAAGATGGGAATCCCCAAACCAGAAACCCCAAGCCTGGGAAAAGGACACAGGAAACAACTCAGATGTGTTAAAGCCAGTGGTCTGGGCTGTCTACACTCCATATCCACAGGCCCTCCCTTTCTCTCTGGATGTCTGAGGTCAGTGAATAGGGGGGGGGGGTGAGGAGCTAGGCATCACTCCTTTGGCAAAGGATCTACTGGAAGGCCAGGTTCCCCTTCACTGTCTCACAGTAGGGATTTGGTAGATAACAATTCAGGAGCACAGAAACAGCCATTCTGGAATTAAGGACAGCAATAACTTCTTGAAAGTGTATTCCTAATCAGTCAACTTTCCTTTTGAAAACATGAGAAGACAAAAGAGGCAATTCTCATATGGTAGGGAGTTAGCTGGACATGCTATAGGGTTAGAAGGATAAACTTTTGGGTACACAGCTTCCTGAGAAGGCTCCTCTAGCTGCTCCTAGGCACTCCATCTGCATACTTATATGAGCCTGGGGTCTGCACATGCCTTTGTATGGTACCAGGGACCCACTTTGAACCATTAGGTCCTACTCAACCAACTAGACCTCATTTGCATACATTTGCATGGTGGTTTTGAGCCCCTGCAGGGGATGGCTGTCCTGTTCATTCTGGCCCAGACCATGTAACTTCAAAAAACATCCTCTCCTGACAGAGTCTCAGTGTTAATTGACAGAAAACCCTGTTAGTCAAGAACATTTACCCACTTGCCCAAATTATAGGAAAACAAAAGCAAAACCAACCCAATGCTGGGGCAACTGGCCCTGTGCTCCAGAGCACACAAGCTTATCACCGACGCTAGCCTGCACTGTGTTGCCTGCTTTTCTGCCTTGGGAATATGGCCTCCTCAGCAAAGCAAAACTGCTCCACTTAGCACACGGCACGCTTGACATTTAATAAACTGGCTTGCCGAATCTGCTTTTCTTGAGTTCCTTTTCAGTGACCTCTTCACAAATCTTCTTGGAGAGGATTCAAGAATGACACCAACAAAATGCAGAACCCTCCACAGACTATCACCCCAGCCTGGGCAACCCCAAATCCTGTCACATAAATGGGTGAGTACAAAGACAGCGCTCCCTTCCGGGGTATTTATTACCTACTTGCTGACATTCATTTTCCTCTGCTCTTTAGGTAATAGGAAAAAAATGGCCCTGAGTTCTGGAGAGAACACAGCCACCTCTCCCAGGACACCAGGCCCTCCAACTTTGTGCCGGCTGACTGGAGCTGCTGCTTCAAGGGGAACTTGCAGGCATTTACTCCATCTTTCCAGTACAATACTTGAACTTGTCCTTGGCGTACCAGGTGTAAAAGGCGAGCACGTGTCCGCATATTGGGGAGAGGAAGCCTTTGTACAAAAT